AAATGGGACCCCTGGTCAAACGAGGCTTGCAGAGTGCTGCGGACGTCAAGGTGCTCGAAGCGCAGATCCGGCTTCGTGTCTCGGCTGGTTGGTGGGCCCTTCCTTTTGGTAAGAGCTGATGTAAGAACTACTAGCAGCAATCCTCGAGTGCCCCGGCTTGCTCAAGCGGCCGCTGCAAAGATCACGACATCCAAGCTGCAAGCAAGAGCGAGGATTTTAAGTAGGGTGCCTTTGCGAGTCGTTGTCTAGCCTTCCGATTCAATCCACAATAATTATTAAGTCAAGAACACTGCATTTATAAAGAGCCGCCCAGCGCAACATGGCAGAGGTGCATTATTACCACTGTGCTACATCTGCTTTTGGCTCCTCCTTGTCCTCCTTGCATTGGCTTGCTTAGGCGAAGCCGAGCTCCGCAGTTTGACACAGCAGATTCGGAAAGCGGAGGCGATGGTTGTTCCCGTGCCAGATTGCTTGGACTCAGGGCCTTATCTAAACTCTGTGAACCCCCGGTGATGCCTTTGACGCCTACGGTGTGGTCTGGAAAAGTGCTTGCCTGTACCTTCACAAAGGTGATGAACATTGGATTTGGTTGTTTGTATGTTGCTTGTGCAGCATTCCAACCACATCTGTTGTCGAGCAGCCTTGCCTGCCTGGTGCAAGTGTGAGAGTCGAAAGACAAACTAGACTAGCCATGTGATCCTTGGAAAGTAAGTGGGGAGCGAGTAAAATTTCGTGGAGGTTGGTAGGATGCACATGCGCTCCAACTCACTAAGTTGAATAGCGGAGTGGGCTCCACTCCCGTCATAAATCACAAAGTACAGTCTGCGAACCGAGAACCTCATCTGTGCCTGTCTAAATTTGACAGCGCAGTACAGTAGCAGGTAAAGGGGGAATGTTCGGGAGTGGTGTTGTCTGTCATTCCCGGTCGCGGTTCCGCTGCTGAGAAAATAAGACGTGTGCATTTTGCGGCCCCTGCAAAACGGGACCTTTCTTTAATGGGGAGCACTCTAAAGATAATGAAGAGGGAATGTCCTCAAGCCCCGAATTCTTGGCTTGCTTGCCAGAAACCCTCACGGACAGAATGCTTAAAGCCCCAAAAAGCCGAAACCTTCCAACAGAAACTGCTCGTGGGAGGGAAAAAAACTGCTCGACTTCCAGAGGAGGCCCGCCAAGCTGCGTTGGTGAGGGTAGCGCTGTTCCGCGAGAAGCAAGCAGAGCGTGGCTTGGCCAGGCTTTCGGGTTCAGGGCATTCAGGCCTCAAGCTCACAAGGGCTCTTTGGGCGTTGGTGCTTTATGGCTTCAGGCTTTAGATGTGTCCTTGGGCCCGTCAGGTCCCGGGTCGAGGCTGTAGAGTCGAGTTCTAAGCTGTGGGGGGTTGCGGGGCGAGCTCAGTTGCTGGGCACTGCAGATCCATGTTTGTGCGAGAGTGCCTCCATGTGAAGCGGGGCGGCGTGAACTTCTTTCCAAGAAGAAGTATGCCCAGCAAGCAGAAGTATGCGGAGATCGGCGGCAGGTGCAAAGGCCCCTCGCCAGAGGATTGAATAGGACTCTACTGACAGTGATCAGGACTGGGCCAGTGATAAGCATGAAGCAAACATGGCCACGGGGCGCATGCGAGCAGCAAGCAGAAGAATAATATCAATACGAGACATAGCTTTTCAACATGAACCAGGACAGCACTCTTCCACATCACAATCATCATCATCATCATCATATCATTATCCTGATCGTCACCTCACCCTTGTGCTGCTCGGCGTCATCATTGGAGGTGTACGTCGTCGCCCGTGTTCGAGCATGACGTGCCGTGGTAGGAACTGTATACTGTACATCCAGTCCACGTCAACATGAGTAAAAGTATGCAGAGATCCACAGGGTGGCTAGCCACAGCAGGTCTCGTCACCACCAGGATCCCAAATGCGAGCAATCAGAGGATTGCTAAGGCCTAAGGGGGCACCTGGCAGCCAAAGGGGAGGAACCCAGCTCAGAAGAGCCAGATCCCCCCATGTTGTGCGGCACTGAGTAAAGTGCCTCCCCAACGCCCCCAGGCTTAACGACCCTGGGTGAGGTCGCGACCGAAGTCTCCCCGTTTCCCTAATGGGTGAGGCAGAGATGCATGGCCAGAGGCGAGTAGGAGGTCAAGCAGACCACGTACCACGATGCAAAGCTCCCCCACGGAATAGCGGCCTGGGTGTCCGCGGCACTGAAGAACAGCGTCTGCCCCATATTATAGCTGACAGCCCTGGGCGTGGGCCGCGGCCTTGTGCGAGATATAAAATTAGCATCCTCAGAGGGCCTCCCCAAATCCAAAGGCGCAAAAACTTCACGCTGGTCTCGGCTAATGGGTCGAAGCCGCAGGAGGTATTTGAACCAGCTTAATTCCCGCCACCACGCCTACGCGCAGTGGGCCCCCCCTCCCCAAGGGGCGTCATCATTGCGAGAGCAAAGATGCCTCCATGCCCCACTTTGTTCCCACCTTTGCACCCGATCATTCTGATTTGAAATGTTTGATGACGCTTACATGCGCTATGTAGCAGGGACGGTGAAATAGGTCGTCTCATGCAGCTTGCAGGCTTGAGCCCTTCGTTCTATGCAAGTTCCGGCAGATGTTCGAATATGGGGTCTGAAGAAGTAGAACTGCTAGCTTTGCTACAGCAACCAGACAGTTTTTGCTGCAAAAGTGCAAAACCGTAACTCTCTTCGAGTCATCCAGTCCCCCATGTTGGAGTTTCTGAGCAGCTGAGGACGACAGCAGAGCAGGATTGCCAAGCGTGCATTGACTGCGGCGACCCGCAAGGCCAAGGCGGATGACACAAAGACTCTGCTCTGTAAGCCTCGGTCATTGTTTAAAACCGTCTTTGTCTTCCTAGCAGTGAGCGCTAGATCTTGCATCAGGCACTTCAGATGAGAATCCGGACGTTCAGCAAGCCTGGCGAATTACGGCGAATTCTAACTTCGGATTTGAAGAGACGGAATCTCAAGCTAAGCTTGACCTGCGCCCACATCGACAAATGTGATAGAAACGCATGTACATGCGTTTGGCAAGCTAGCTACGAGTTCTAGTGCTGTGTGCTATTGCGCGGTGAGGAGTGGGTTCGGTGTGTTTTAAGAGCTTCACCCTCCGACCCAAACCTTAAACGCCCAAAAGCAGACATGCGCCTTGGATATACCTGTTCCGTGAGGCCATGTGCCTGACCACCTGGGTGCAGTTTCGCGACGACAAGCGGCCCTCCGTCTGGCGGGACATTTCCAACCACGCCCCGTGACCTGGAGTATGGGCTTTGGGGTTAAGGGTTGAAAGGGAAGGTAGTGGATTCTTTGAAGGCCCATTGTTGTTGTTGTTGGTGGTGGTGGTGGCGGCGGTGTTCTTGATTGTGCTGGTAGTGGTGGTGAGGATGATGCTCATGCTGCAGAGTTTTGAGGGCAAGCCGCGCCCGTTGAGCAGTGGTCAAGGTCAAGTTCGAGTGGGCCGTGGCAGTTGGTGACAGAGCTTCAGGTGGGATACCAAGCCGAAGTTCCCATGTAGACAGCAGACAGTGAGAGCCGTACTTGTAGGATTGGCAGTAGTAGGGGCAGATGAGCGACAGCAGTAGTGGCTATAGTAGGGGCTATAGTAGGGGTGTTCATGGTTCTCGTGGCACTAGTCAATCGCTGTGGCGAGGCCTGGGCTGCAAACCCAAACCTCCACTGAATCTCCGAACTGCCGTGTGTTCCGAACAGGATCCGAGCCGGAAGTGCTCGCCTTGAAGGATGTCGGGCTGCTGTTTGGCTTTCAGGTTCACATTTTCTTGTGGCCGGCGCCGATTGACTCTAAGGTTCATGCTGCATTGCACAGTTTCACACAAGTGCTGTGCCAAGCGGCAGCAATAGCCGCATCAGCCAGGAAAACAGCAACAGCAGCGACAACAGGCAACAGTACTGCACTACACTACCTCTTGGTGACATTGACATGCACACCGTGCCATGTTGGTAATACGGTTTCACGGAGAAAAATACATGCATCGAGTTTCTCTTTGTCTTCCGTCGTGGGTGACCTCGTTTTGGCCTCAGACTTGGAAGTGGTGTTCAAGGTTGAGGGGAGGGGGGAGGGTTTATAGTCATGCATACAGTCTACGATGGTACCAAATCAAGCGGCTTGAACGCCAGCATGCACAGCATCAGCATGAAGCCAACAACCCAAACCTGCAACGAAGCAGTGTTGACCCAATGCTCAACGCTGCAGGACTGCCGCCGAATCGCTCTCGAGGGACAGAGGCAGGACGGGCTACAGCAAGCGGTTTTGTGGACAAGCTTTGCCGAATCTGGCTGCCTAATAGTTGCTCGGTTGAAACGGAACTACCAATAATCGTAGTGCTTAGACGTAGTAGTGGTGAGAGTACTAGCAACGCGAAGCCGTTTCTTCGTTGTTGTTGGTGTTGCTGAGGTTTGCCGAGGGCGTCAGTAGGAGATGTGCGTGGCTGCTGCATACAGTGTGATGTCTTCTTTATACCTGGTCAAATGATTGCGACGTCCGCGACCTCACCGGCAAATCGCGAGGTAACCGTCCCGAAGTAATGCCCCAAAACACGAGGTGCGAACATTTGCACCCCACACCCGACCTTCCTTAAACACCCTGTGGCCTAAACCCGAACACAAGGCTAAGCCAGACCGAGATGTAGTTCATCGCGCTGACTTACCACTAAACTTTTGGCCCAGAGCTGGCATTTTGCTGCGGCTCCTCCGAGCCGCTCATGTCCTACTGTACCGTACCTGACGGTCCTACCTCTTTGCTTGATCGCGGATCCCTTAACCAATGGCTCCGACCCTCCACCGCGGCATCAGGCCGACGCAGAACAAGAAGCCTTCCATCATCACGTGGGACACTTCGGCGTGGAAGGTCCCCACTCAAACGTTGCCGCCGAAGGCAGTCCACAGTCAATAAAGCTTGCAGGAAGAGGCTGAGAGAGAAAGAGCCTGTGTGGAAGCGACAATTTGACGGAAAAGCTGCTGAAGTCTGAGCCAAGGAGGGAGGAGTCGTGTCGCTCACGGTGAAGGCCAGGCTTGTCCGAGTGTAAGAGCTCCAAGCACGAAGCCCAGAACATTCAACTCATCAAGAAATGCATATCTATCTGTGTATGTATGTATGTATGTATGTATGTATGTAGGTATGTATGTATGTATGTATGTCTGTAAGTATGCAGTATATTGTATAGTGTATAAAGAACTATTTATGTGTGTGTGTATATGTACACATGCAGGTAGATATGTATGTATGGATCCATGTGTGTTTGCATGTCTGTATGTCTGTACGTCTGTTCTGTCTGTCTGTCTGTCTGTATGTATGTATGTATGTATGTATGTATGTATGTACATGTGTGCATATAAACAAATGAACCAACAAGATAAATATAAATAAACAAACAAATATATAAATAACATATTATGTATAAGTATACGGATATGTATGTGTATGTCCTATCCATACAGATGTATACACTGTATCCATGTGTGTCTATCATTGTCCATCCATCCATCCATCCAGACAGCCAGCCAGCCAGCCAGCCACGGGCGGCCCGACAGATAGAGACAGACAGAGAGACAGACAGGCAGGCAGGCAGGCAAGCAGGCAGAGATATAGCTGGACAGATAGACAGACAGAGAGAGAAGAACAGATGGACACGTAGATCGGCATCGCGGGACACGGCGCCGTTTGCACAGGAGGCCGAGGCCATTCTGAAGGCCAGCAGGGAGGCCACGGCCCCGGCGGCACTTGGCAGCTTCAGCCTGCTGAAGGCGTCGAGGGCTGGTGTTACAGTTTAAATAGTTTAAAGGTGTGGCAGTGTAGGATGTAGGAGTCAACAGCTTACGACTTAGGGGCTTAGGACTTAATGCCCCAAGTGCTGTGCTGCGGAGGCAGGGTTGGGGGCCATGCCGAACGTGCTGCTCGAAAAGAAACTTGGCCCTGGAGTACTTGCAGGTTTGATTGCTTCCAGGCTTTCTTCGTACTGTTATACACATGCGTGACATGTTCTGGAGTTCTTCCAGGCTTCTGCGTTTCCCGGTTCCTTGTTGGAGCAGCAGGAAAGTCCAAAGCTTCTTCGACGATCCTGAGACCGGGCTCATCCGAGTCAAGGACGTGCTGCTTCCAGAGAAGCTCAGCGGCGCGGCTGCAGGGATTGAAGACCTCGCCCCCTCAGCCAAACCGGGAAGTTCCAACGAAACGATAGTCCTTACTATAGTCCTTGACAAAATTCTAGTATAACAAGACCCCAAACCCAAAACCCTATCCTGATTAGTAACGCCCCTGTATCACTGAAGTCAGAGCATGAGCTTACATTTGTCGTGTTCTGTTTGATGGCACGATGTGTGTAAACAAGGTCATGCGATGATCTCATAATATATCCAATTTATAAATCATGCGGTATGTTGTGCTGAGGCGCGATCTTGCGGCCATACCAGGCGACGGGCTACCACTGGTTGGCGCGCGCCCTAGATCCGGAAATAAGGGTCCTGCGCTTTCAGAACTTACCACCATGTGACAGAACAAGAAGAGGTAAGAGGTAGATCTTGGGACGGATGAGACAGCCAACTGTTGAGCCCCAGGCCTCAGTTGCAACCTTTGGGTGTAGGGCCAGGTTTCAACTTTTCGTTTGAGTTTGGACACGGAAGAGACAGAGCTTGAAGGTCAACAATGCCAGGAACGGGCTCGGATGTATCCTCGCGGATGACATGGGCTTGGGAAAGACTGTCCAGGCCCGTCGCGTTCATTCATCGCTTGAGGATCGTCGAAACTTGAAAGGCACGGGGTTTTCGCAGATTTATTGGCAGGGTTTTAAGGATATTTTGGAGTTCCACTGCGGCTTCTTGGGTGCTAGACAAGGCAGCTGGGCACCCTCTCCATCGCCCCCATGCAGCATCCTAATCATTTCCGGCTCCAAGATCTCACCGTCGATCCCGAACTCTGGACCGTGATGGCTCGAGATGCCGTCAATGTCTCTGCTGCGTAAAGCCTGGACCTCCGGGTCTTGAAGAGCGCGCTGAATTGCAGCCCGCAGCAGCGGCAGACGCGTGACGCCGTCCCTGGACAAACCTCGTCAACTCAGATCATTGCTTTAAGGAAGCACCTATGTATGGAAGCGTGTAGGAACCTTCCTACTTAGTATGCGAAGACCCTGCACAGTCCTTTCCATCAGCGCAGCAACTGCGCAGGCCATCGCCCTCATGCTGTTCCTGAGGAAGAAACTTGGAAGCATTACCTGAGTCTTTCTTTCTCAGAAGGCTTGTGATTCTAGGGAAGGGTCAGTAGAGTCGCTGCAGACCGGATGCAAAAGGCAAGGGTCAGTTCAAGCTACAACAAGAGCAGCTCTACTTCGACACAAATACAAAAACACCTGCAACAATACGCTTCTCCAGCTTCACGTGACACAGGTGGTTCAGAAGCATGCTGTAGCGATCTTGCAGGCACAGTGCCCCACTCTTTGGTCAGGGCATCCTCAATCGGGATTGGATACAGTGACGTTGGCGCCATCTCCGTACTAGCGGTTACTGGCATCGGAAGAACTTTGACGCCCGTTGTGACTGTTCAAATCGAAACTTGTATCCTAACTTGAGCGGCTCCTTTCTGAATTTGAGTTCTTCTGGAGTCTTGGTGTTGAAGGCTGGGGCTGGCGGCAGTCGGAGATGCGTTCATCATAGTGTTACATAGTGATATTAGAGAGTCGGGCAGCGGAAAGCTTGGTTCTAGAACGCCTTCGGCGAAGGGTCTAGGGCGCAAGTTGTACAACATGTAAAGCCAGGCTTGAAACCCTTAGCACTGCATTCAACTTTCAAGATGCTGATTGGAAATTCCTACGCCTGTAAACCTCCTGTAGACCTGACGTGTGCAGGACGTCTCTTGCGGGGGATTATGTCTATTATGTCCATTCAGGTCGCCGGTCCCCCTCCGATGGAGGGCTTAGGTATGCTGGGACGTTCAAGCGATTGCACAAGCCCTGGTGCAAAAAAGAGTTTCATTTCTGGGCTTCGGGGTTTAGAGCTTGGAAAATGAGAGTCCCCGAACCCTTGCTCCGGCTAGAGGAGCCACATGCTTGCACGGCCGATGTTGGTCATCGTCCCGCGGCCGGGGCTGCATTAGGGGCCTTTGTAGATCAAGGGTTTCATGCAGACATCCCTGAAAGAGGGTGCAGTGCAGCGGAAGCTAGACAATGCACATACGGACAGCACGAACAAACAGGGGACCTTCCCAAGAAGCAACACAGGCTGCTTAACACACACCCACACACACACCCACCTACAAACGCACACGCGCACACGCACGCACGC